CAATGATTTTCTATCAAAGATTGCATAAATGAAATAAAATAAAATACCTCAAAAATAGATAATTAATAAAATTACCAGAACTACATATAATATTTTTATATTAACTCGAACATTTTACATACTTGACGGAATTAACTGCTTTCTTTTCATTTCATATTACTACCCTTTAGACCTCTATCCCATATTTCACGTAAAATGTCTTATTTTATAAATTACCTTATTGGTAGTGATATTGCCATCCGGATACCAAAGCCCTACTTCGAATGGATATTTTACACCTAGATCACGTCCAACATCCATAATCCATTTCCAAGTGCGCTTTTTAGATTCGGGTACCGTTAGATTATAGACTGGTATATTTTGGGGCCTAAGTGACAAAATATATGTGTCAGATAATATAATATTAATAAATAAATATTAGAACTATATGAGGAAGTAATCTTACAATTGCTTAGATCTTAGGTTCAACTATCTCATAGAAAAATGTGCACACTCCCTTTTGTTCTGTCTTATTATCAGATAGAAAAATTTATATCTCGCTTCCAACTACTTGGAAAAGTATCTCGTTTCATAGATTTTGTAGAAGATTGAATGGTCTACAAAAAAGTCTCTTTCGATTTTTAAGTAAACCCAACTGTTTAAAAGAACGGTTGAAGTTTAATTATTTAAAGAAAAACTTTACAACTAAGAGCTCATACTTGGAGAGATTTTCTTACAGGTTTCAAAGAACCTATTTTTCAGAGTACCAAGCGAAAAAAAATATATTAGTTTACTTTTAACCCACGCTATTGTACACGCATGTAATAATTACATTATAAGTAGTATTATTGTTTCCAGAACTTTCAAATGAAGAATGTGATAAACTTAACTTTTTACCAATGTTTTTAGATTAAAGTTTTTCTCATTGAAGTCGCAAAGTATTCAAGTCATTAAGAGTTTTTGAAGTGCAACTCCTATAGTAAATCATATTTTTGGAGGGTTGCCACTTATATAAAAATTTTAACTCACATATTTGAATTGAGATAAACGAATTATAACAGTACCACCATAAAGAGTTTAAGATACCTTCCAGTTTAAAAAATATTTGGGTAAAATTTAAGTGTTCAATCTTAGAATATAATTGATGAAATTCATTATATATACACATTATTAAGTATATGTATATATACATATAAATTAAATAAGTGAAAAAATTTTCTGTGGAACTAATTAACACATAATAAAAAAGCTTTCCATACAAGGACTTAATTTTGATTGGTCAGTTGGTATGGCTGCAATACGCTATAGAGAAACGTGGATGTGTGCAAAATTTCAGATTGATATCTCAAAAAGTGAGGTACTAGTTCGCGTATATACAGACACACGATCATGTCCAAATAGACTCAGCCTCCCATGTGTTACAAACTTCTTGGCAAATTAAATATTCCCTGTCTACTCCAGATCCTCAAATCTTTTGACTTTGATTTTGCTGGAGCAAATTAATTTAAAATGTGTACTAAATTCTTTCTTTATAAATACAGATATATATTAGTTTTTATAAAGCATGGAACATTTCAAATTATATTACCTCTTCTCCATAATATTGAAACGGAACGGTAATAGAATTAAACCGTTTATGGCTGTATCAATCGGCATTATCTCCGATTTCAATTCACCATTGCATAGCATTGAACGTATTACTCCTTTTCCAGCTCCGATCATTACACCAGTGGGCCCATTTAGATTGTCCACCCAACCGGGAAACGGTTCTTGCACAGCAGGCGTCACTATTCACAAAAGTATTATTGAGTTATAAGTAATATTTAAAAGCGAAAAAATGTACATTTCTTATCCCTTATACATATACATCATTTTTTCTATTATAATAATTGATGTGTAAAAAACGCTCAACCACAGGTTGTTTTATAACGAAATACTAACACGTTCGGCCAGGATTTTTAAAAATTTACTACAGAGGTCTTAGTTAAGCTCTGAATACATCCATTAATATTTCGCTTAATTAATGACCAGAACTACGCTTTATAAGTAATATCGCTTTATTTCTAGATACAAAGTGTTAACGGTATTTCAACATTTTCAGTTTGTTAAGGTCTGTATAAAAACGAAATTAATTAAATAATAATATATGTAAATATATAGAAAAATTATGTGTCATCAACCTGATTCGAAAGTCATCACATCCGGGCAACATGATGCCAGTAGTAGAGTTTTGAAAAATCTGTCACCAGTTGAATTTAGTCGCTTTTATAGGTAAACTAATCATCAACCATTGTTATTAATTATACATACATATTTTCGCCTCCAATTAAAACAGATTTCTCTTAAATATACTGTTGAAATAATTGTTTTTGACAATTAAGATATTTTATGATTTGGTATGGTTTTTATTTTGTATATTATATTTTGGCAGGCTTTGCCTCGTTTAGATTTTTAGGGCCTGCTAGAAAAAATTTATAAATTCTATATATCTATAGAATATACATATTGTTGTTTGCTGTGATGTTTTCCTAGAAGTGGATAATTTTTCAATTTTCAAATATCTTTTTGATGTTGGTCGGAAACTAAGAGCTAACATGGGTCATGGGGATTGATAATGCGCAACTCATAACGTTTCATATTATTGTAGACAGCTCGTTTCGTATAACGGTGGCGTTTACGTAGCTGGAACAAACCCGGTTTTTCAATTACTAAAATTTTAGACTGTACATAATACTCGAATCCATTTTTATACTCTCGCAACCTGTTGCTACAGAGTATAATAGTTTTGTTCACCTAACGGTTGTTTGTATCACCTAAAACTAGTCGAGTTAGATATAGGGTTATGTATATATAAATGATCAGGATGAAGAGACGAGTTGAAATCCGGGTGACTGTCTGTCCGTCCGTTCGTCCGTGCAAGCTCTAACTTTAGTAAAAATTGAGATATCTTTATGAAACTTGAAACTACCTACAGTGTAAAAATAGTTGAAATCGGGTGGCAACTCCGCCCACTCCCCATATAACGGTACTGTTAAAAACTACTAAAAGCGTTATAAGCCAAGCACTAAACACGCCAGAGACATTAAATTTTATCTCTGGGATGGTATGAGATGACTTTATAGGAACCGCGTTCAAAATTAGACTTTTAGGTGAAAACCCATATCTTGGGATCTGCTTAACCGATTTCAACCGAATTCGGTACATAACGTTCTTTTCATATTTCTATGTTATATAGCGAAAATGGGCGAAATCGGACTACAACTACGCCTATTTCCCATATAACACCATTTTCAATTCCATCTGATTCTTTCACTTTCCACTATTCATATCAAGCAACAATGATTATATCGGGGTAACACTTTGCGTGAATAATACGTTTAAAGTATGCCACCTTGTGACCAAAAATTGTCTAACTCGAACCAAAACTGTTCAAGCTCCTAAGTACTAAAAATGTAGACCCCAGGGCCTATATTTGACCTTCTACCGAAAATATCAGTCAATCCACAAAGAAATCTCAAACGAGTATACCATTTGACTTTGCGAGAGTATAAAATGTTCGGTTATATCCGAACTGAGCCCTTCCTTACTTGTATGTTATTTTATTTATACATAAACGAGTTGTATATGTCCACATATCATATATTCACCACTTCAGCCTCAAATACTAAAGGTAAATAGCAAACTTTTAATATATGTATATATTTATTTTTTCATTTACTTTTGAATAAAACCCATTAGAAATCTTGATAATAAATAGCAGCAAAATTATATTATAACATAGGCATATTTTTTTTATTATAATTTTATTAGAAAACACGCCTTCAATAAAAACGCAAAAAAATCATTTAAATTTCATATCCAGTAATAACAAAGAAGAAATATACAGTTATTTTTATTTATTTTCTATAATTGGCAGGCAAGATGAGGTTATTAAGTACACCTATATATATATATAATATATCTATATATGTATATATATATATTATATTATGCTATTTCCGGAAAACAATGCCAAAACGCCAGTCCACTTCAGTAGATAATATATGAATAGTCCTACAAAAACGATTTTGAAAAATCGATCAATGCCATACATTCTGGAAAAAGAAAACAAAACGTTGATTGAATACAGCAAAAATATGCTTAACGATATTTACACAATTAATTATGTTGCGGCATGATAGAGTATTTGAGGTCTAAGCCTAGCCGCCAATTAAATTATAAGTTTTCGTAACTCACGTAGGCATTCCCAAAACGCTATATTTCTATTATGAGAAGGATCTACATTAAAATCTGACGCTGAGTCACCCACATTAGTTTGTTGTAAAAAGCTTTAAAATGTACTCTTTGTATAAGAACCCTCTTAAAAAACTGTGCTGATTGTGCCGTCAATTTAGAAGGACATTTTAAATTTTCAATGTTTTATATAAATCTAAATTCATTAATCGACAAATGCAATATTTACTAAGTAGTACCGTTCTCGATATCTCTGGCACAAACAAGAATAAATATTTACATAATTTTAAAATCAGTTTTTATAGTTCACACTTTGGAACTTTTCAGATTTTGAATACATACCATATTCAAACATATTACTCTTTTCATTTGTGGTATTGAACCTAATGTCCATCATCCAATAACATCCCACAGAAAGACTACAAGTTTTGCATTAAAATGCCTAGTGATGAATAATATAATACTTTACAGCTCATATACTATTTTCAATTACTATATAAGGTTGGCGCTGGTGTAGACGGTCAAAATACTATATTGTGAACTCACTTAGTTGTGGTTTTTGCCTTCTGATCATAATGTGTTAATTCATGCTTTCAACTAAATTTGCAATGTATTTTTTTTTTTATTCATTCACACTTACATCTTCTGGTGGAATCTGGCCTTCGGCAATTCTTCAAGCTTTTCTTTCAAAATGTACTCGCGACCTCCCTTAATGCATCCGATGAGATACTCCTCTTCACTGTAATCGGAATGCATGTCCATATTGAATCTAGATTTCGTTGGGAAAATAATCCAAAATTTTTTAAGTTTTTGTTATTCCAAAAATTATCACAATACTTACATTGCCCTGTCCTCAGTTGTCAGGTTCCGCCACAAACTGGCAAAATTATCTGATTCAAAACACCAAGGATGGAGGGTGAAGAATTGCAAAACGTCAAGACCCGTGGATATTTTATTTTGAACACGCACCATGCTGGAAAAGAGTTTTGTATTGATTAAGTGCAATTTCGAAATTGTAACTTCGACTTACAATCGCTTCTGCCCGAATATCAATAGCAAAAAGTCCAAAAAGTATGCGGGTAACCAATGGAACATCAGCACATTAAATTTATGATATATTTTATTGGTAGTGACGACAGCATCCGGGTACCAAAGACCCACGTTGAGGGGATACTCGCGCCCCAAGCGTTTGCACATGGTAATCACATCGCCCATTTTCGTTTTGCGGTGATCGGCATTCGTGATGTTGTAAACGGGAACATCCGCAGGTCTAAGAGATATAAAATTATTTATCGGCAATTATGGAAACAATACATGCAGTTATCCTTGTTCCAAGTAGTTAATTTTTTTAAGGACAAGGGCGACTTTTTCGCTAAGTTAAGTTTAAGTAACATTTGCTAACCGTTTTTGACTTTTGTAGAACTGGTAAGGTATCACAATGAGTCCGTTTATGGCATAATCGACTGGTATAACTTCGGAGCGATTTTTCTCATCGACGAGTACCGAGCGTATGACGCCTTTGCCAACGCCAATCATCAGACCGGTGGGTCCATTCAAGTTGTCCACCCAACCCTTCTGGGGCTCAAATGCGGCGGGGGACACTAAACGTAATTTCATCGATTAATTTAAACATTTTCTATCTCGTATTTACTAAATATAAGTATATTTACCGGTTAACCGCGCCACAATGACTGTATTAGTTGACTGAAAGTGTATGTGTGTTATATATGTGATGTGTGGCTGTGTGAGTAGGTGGCTTGTGTTAAGTGTGAGTGTGCGTGTGATTTCTTGCTCTTTTGTTTTATTTTGAATAAATTTCTTATGTAAATATTTAAATGTAAGTATTTATTGTTGTAGAATATGTAAAGTAGTTCTATATGTATGTGTATAAATAAATTTAATTATGTGTAAATTTTGGTTTTTTTAAGTTATGGTATAATTTAGTGTACATGCTCTGGTAAGTAGTAATTGTGTATCTGGGATAGTTGCTTGTATTTTATGTTTTGTGTAGCCAACTCGACGACGAAGATTTTGATTTCACATTTCAAACAATCCGAAACAAGACGTCAAAATGCGTGGACCTTAAATTTTTTCCCGAATTAAAACTGTGATGACTGTAATCGACAAGAGCCCTTAAAATTAAGTACGAAAACTATGACTTCACAAAAAAATTATGACCAGATAATGTCAGATCTTCATAAAGGTCACGTGATATTCCAATGATTCTTAAAAATATTTTCGTCGATGTTATTGGTTACTTAAGACTATTAGAATTATTTTATTGAAGAATATATTCGAAGCGATTTAAATGGCTGTCAAAAAATATTATCAATTTTAAACGTATAAATGATTATATAAATTTGGTCTATCCGCTTGTTTTTCCATTCTTTGAAAGTATTTTTCATGTCACAAGACTTGAGGTAACGAGATCCATTCCTGTATATAATTGCATTATCAACTTATGCAATTGTAATTATTTATTTATTTTTTATGCAATATTTTTCTTTTTCTTTGATATTAATTCTAGTTACACTTTTTGAGCATGGTGACCGATAAGCAAATAATTTTTTTTCTTTTATTGAATAAATGAGAAGTTAATATTGTTTTAAATATTTTTATTATCTTACAATACTTGTAGGTTATTCAGAATTTTTTATCATTGAAACTATAAGTTTAATGGTAATAAGAAACATGAGTTTAATACTTAATATCCTCTAAATATCATTATTCATTTTTAAATTAAAATTTTCCGAAAGAAAAGTGGTTAACCGCTCTGATATTTTATCAGCGAAGTTGATGTTGAAATCACCAGCCCAGATAAGTGGAAATTTTTTACCATTGATAATCCGATTGAAATACCAAATTTTAATTTTATTGCTTAATTCAAACGAGATACTGTTCCAAAAGGTGGGGTGGCTATTTACCGAAATAATAATAATATAATATTGAATACTTTATTTTTTAAAATTAAATTTCTATTAAATTCTATATTATTATTTGGCATTAAAAATTGTGTCTTAAATACTATTATTTTTGAATCACCCTCATCTTATGCGAAAATACGCCTAAAAGTATGCGCTTACTTTGTGATCGTGTTAGGTTTATTTCCGTTACGGAATTTCTAGATTCAGTCCCCGCGCTCCAAGCCCTCGATAGAAGCTATGCAATAGCTTAAACATTTTCTATACTTATAGAGCCATTATTTGAACCCACGACCGAGTATGCACAGGCAAATATTTTGGATTACAGATACGATCCCATAGAATTTAACGGTTTTATATAGTTTATAAATCAACGAAATAGAAAATAACTATCCTAATCGTTTGAACAATTCCACCGAATATTTTTAGTATATCGTGATCTAAAAGAATTTCAATAATTTTATTAAAAAAAACTACTATGAACGATTTAACATCGCGCTCTGCTATAAGCATGGTCACAAGTGCTATAAGCAAGGTCAAATTAAAATATTTCGAATGGGTTTTTTGAAGGATAATTCGAACAAGGAACTTCGGTTACACCTAAGCTAGAAACCCTTCACAAATAAAAAAGTTTCCATACAAATTTGTAAGAAAGACAGACTGACAGACGGGTATGGTTAAATCAACTCAGGGCGTCGGTTCTCCGTTTTTTCTTTCTGGGTATTACAAACTTCGTGGCCAACTTGATATTCCTGAAATGTGTACTGTCAAAGAGGTCAAAGTCCTTAGCATAAGATCTGTAGGAGTGAAGTTTGTTCGCAAAATGCATAAAACAGCTTTCTGGAACTGGTCGCACTAGATACGGTAGTAGTTGACATATTCATGCAAACATTTTCTGTGGTTTGCCGAAATATGACAGAGACAAAGCTTTAATAATAATAATAGTATGATACCATTCTTAATTTGAAGAATATTATAACTTGGAAATTGAAATGATAGTTTAAGTACTTTCTCCTTAAGTTTACGTTGTTCCAAGTTTAAATACTTAAAAAAAATCTATACTTTTACTGTAGTTTTACATATTTTAAAAGGTCTAATTTTGTCTACTGAGCTAATTTTCCGTAAATTTTCAGATTTCATTAAAACTCCAGCTATTTTGTATAAATTTAAACATAATTTACTAAATTAAGTTCAGAAGGGAGAATATGTAGTTCATAACTGCAGTTATTTTTTTTTACATACGGAAACCCTCATTTATACTAACATTCAAAAAATCATTTCAAATTTTTAATTTATTGAATAGTATATACTTCCGTAATTCTGTCTCTCTATTCCATAATGATAACACCCTGCCTGGAGCTGTTGAAGAATAAAATCCAGAAGAATAAATTCGCATAAAAATATGCATTTTTATTTTATTATAATTACAAAAGCATCGCACAAGTATTATATGAATATATGTACATACATATGTACGATGGAGTGGCTTAGAACTAAACAATGTAACCTATAAATATACAAACAAATATTTTATAACCATTAGGTACTTTTCGTGCATGTAAAGCGAATTGAAGCAAAAAATTCAAAATTCAGCGCTGTAAATATAATTTTAAAAAATCCGTTCATTATGCTCCTTGCTACATGATTATAATCTCACGCCACTATAAAGAAATACAACTTTAAACGGAGATAAATGACGCTATGCGATTATAAAGCCAATAGGCCAACATGCCGATTATCACTATCTTACAGAACCGATCCAAAACGTATAAGCTGTAAAAGGCAGAAGTATATACAAATACATAAGCAAGTTAGACTTTCAGGTATTTCACGAAAGTGAGACTCAGTCCACTTTTATTTCTATCGCTCACATTTTTAGATTGCGACGTGCACGTGGCAGTGACTCCGGCGTTTCTTTCATGAGATATAGACGTCCGCCATGCAGGCAGGAAAGCATATACTCTTCAACCGACTCCTTGGGGTCCATATCCATGTTGAAACTATATACAGTTATTATTATTTGTTTATTTCATAGGTTCATTTGCTGTTTATACTTTTTACGTTACGTACATTTTCTTATCCTCTGGCGTGAGTGATTTCCACAGCCCGTCATATGCTTCTGACTTGAACACCCACGCGCGCAACGAGAAAAATTGTAACACACTGAGGCCTATTTGGATACGTCGCTGCACACGTAACATGCTAAAATTTTGAAGTGTCAACACCACTTTCGATTTCCGAAAAATTTCAACACACTTACAATCGCTTCTGACCCAGAAGAAATAATATAAAATCAATAAAGTATGCCGGTAGCCAATGGAAGAGTATAACGTTAATTTGGTGGTGCAATCGATTTGTGGTGATGCAACCATCCGGATACCACAAACACAACTCCATGGGGTACTCATAGCCAATTTTCTTACCCATCTCGATCGCCTCACCCCACTGCATTTTACGGTGTTCCGCTGCGGTGATGTTGTAAATAGGCACTGAAGCCGGACTGTGACGGTAAATGTAAGAGTTTAGAGATTTCTTTCGGATTTTATACAAGAATATGGGAGGGGTATGCATACCGCGTTGGTTGTGTATTAAACTCGTAAGGCATAACAATAAGTCCGTTGATAGCATAATCAACCGGAATAACTTCAGATTTGAAACGCGTATCGATGAGCATCGAACGTATAACACCTTTACCGGCGCCCACCAAGAGACCAGTGGGCCCATTCAAGTTGTCAACCCATCCGGGTACGGGTTCATACGCCGATGGCGACACTGTATAATTGGAAAGGAAGGAATGAATTATAGTTAACAGGAAGACAAGTAGGGATTTTTCGTACAGGATAGGAAACTGTTATAGAAAGGATGCTGGCATAATAAGGAATGGTTTACGGTATGTGAGAAGGAAATTAATGTATGCAAGAAAAAAATATGATATGATATAGAACCTGATATGTCATAGCTAGTGATAAATGGAATAAAATTAATAAACACTAGGGGTATACAAATATGCAGACAGTAACCCGTAGAATACATAATTGAGACCTCGTAGTGTGAACGAAGTTTGGTAAGAACCAATTGCTTGGAATTGGTTGGTTGAATTCAAAGAAACTTTAATTTTGGTTCTGAAAACTTGTCCTCGTTCACCAATTATTGCTAGACTATTTAAAAAAATTTAAGTAATTTATAGGATATTTTTTCTCGACTACCAACCAATTCTTATCTTATTTAAGAGGAAATATTGGAAATACAATTTAATCGCCTAGGGGTTTTGGTAATTAATTTTTAAACCAAACCACTTATTCAACTTTTATATAGTTCCTAGCTTTGGAAGTACATTTCAATCTAAAGTCTGAGTACGGATGAAACTACTAGACTGTAATCTATAGCACTGTTCCTAATATGTTAAAAATATAATGAAATAAAAATGTGAAAAAATAGTGGTAAACAATAAATTAATTTAAGGAAAGAGGGGTATGTACCTTTTTAAAAATTATCAAATAAAAACAAATATGATGAGAATGAAAAAATATTTGAAATTAGATACAAAAGAGAGGAGTTTAATAAAGAAAAAAGGCATGATTCGTTGGTATGGGTGAAGGAAGCATGGTTCGGGATCTCAGGATGAGAGTATTTGTTTTGTCTTCAACTTTGATTTGCAACATACCGTTATTCACATGTTACTTTTCTCTTACTTTATTAAAGAAAGCACTGCATTGGCCTTAGCAAAGCTTTACAACGACGAGATAGTGTAAAATGTTTCAGGACGTGCGAGTCGGTGTCGGTATCGAGTTATCAGCTGGATATGTTTAGCGGTGACATTGCAACATCTCATTAACACTTTTAACTGTTTCACTCAAACACGTTTCGTGTTTTTTTGTTTTTGCTTTTTAATAACGACAATGATAAATTTATGTGGAGGCGAGCGATTGTGAGGTATTTAAGCTTGAGTTTGTACAATGAACAGAAGCTGGCGGCAAATAGATCCGCTTGTAAGCACATTTTGTAAGCAAATAAGGAGTTCGTTAATAAATGTAACTGTGTATGCATGTTGGCGATGTGTAGCAATGGCGGTTCATTTTTGTTGTATACAATTTTTTCTTTGTTTTGTAAGCATGATTTTCACTAGTTGAGGCACGTAATGGATACATTATATATTGTTTTTTGTTTTTTTTTTTGTTCATTATTTCTTTTTGTAATTAAGGATTTTTTTTCAATTTTCAATTTAACTTCTAGATTTGTGTTGAACAAAATTTTGATAAAAGCACTTGTCGGGTAATTAATACATGAGGAATGGGGGTAGAAACCAATCGATCTCTAGTTATGCACATTTGACTTTTGTCACATGTGTTGAGGTATAACACTAATAAATATTTGTTTTAGAATATTCGTACTTTGTTTATGTATTAGTTACACAACGCAAGCGAGCAAGAAGCCTGAATATCCGAAAAGCGTTTAACATTGAAAGCACATAACTTAATTCCATATAGAATTTAGTTAACGAATGTAAAGCGAGACGAAATTAAGCCTTAAAAGAAGAATAAGTATTAAATAAGCTTAATAAGTATCCGAATATAACAATAAGGGTTTTCAATTAGAATATTTCTGAAAATATTATTTCAATTATTTTTACAGCTATAGATATTATATATCTTAATACAAAAATAGAAAATAAGAATATAAAAATAAACTGAGATAATAATATTCAACAATTTATCAGCGATAGTGGATTACCTAAAATAAAGTATTAATTCAAAGGGTACAAGATCCAAAATTATAGGGCTTAACACTATCAAAAATAGTAAAGGAATATAAGGAGAGCGTATTTCGAGTTCAAAACTCATTTGCAATCAAGATGAAATATTTGCAAATTGTTCAATAGAAGATATGAGTATTTTATCACATAGTTTTTTATGTTTTTTTTTAAATAAATTTAAAATTTATTTAAATTTTAATTTTAATATTAAAGTTTTTATTTAGTTTTAAAATTTAATAACATTTTTAAGCAAACAACTTCATTTGCTTCCATATACAACATTTCCATGTTCCGAAAAAATCAAAGCAATAAGGAAATGTCTAATCAAATATATGTATGTCACCGAAAAGCAATTACTGTATTTACAGCTCTTTAATTTGCTAATTTAGCTCAAAGTGCGACAATGTTGAGCGACGTGTTGCATCGAAACTGTTGATACAACAGACTGAAATTTATGCAAGTATAACATATGTATATGTGCAAGTATCTATGCTGCCGGAATTTTCTACTTGGAAATTACTCTAAAGTAAAGTTTTGGTAAAATTGCCAATGATTGGTTATATAAAAAATATTACTATATTGTTATTAAGTACAGCAACTAAGTTCTGAAAAAAAAGTCTTGAACATACTTAAACTAAATTAAATGAATTGTTAATTAATTACAAAGAATTTATTGAAGCGTTAACGCATATTAATTATCTTACAGTTACAGTTACGAAAAGGGGAAGATGAAGCAAAATGCGCCACGCCCGTTTAAAGATCGCATAGTTAAATATACATGGTATATAAGTAATTAATATTTAAATGATTATTTCTGTATGTATGTAAACATTTTTCATATAGCACTTACCGATACTCGGACGCGCTATAATCACCGGCATAGTCTCGTAGTGATCACGCACCAAAATCTCAGCCAAACGCTTTGAGTAGGTGTAAGTGTTTGGATGGGGTTTGAGCAATTCAGGCGTGATGGACTCTAAGGTCTTAAGGTCCATCCATTCAACCATGCGCATGAGATCCTCTGGTTTGTGTGGATATTCATAGACCTTCTCATACATAACCTCCTGATCGCAGTTACAGAAAGCAGTAGACACATGTACGAAAGCCTCAAGACCCTTCATTTGTTTGGAAATATCCAGAGCGCGGCGCGTGCCTGTTGTATTCATGTCAATAGCGTCCTTCAAATTGCCCTCCAGCTTGAGAGTGGCCGCCATGTGGAAAACGATATTCGTGTTGTCGGTGACATATTTCAAGTTTTCACCACTGAGACCCAGATCTATAATTAACGCAGACAAAAATCATTGGATTCACACAAAAATTTAATAGCATCAAATAATTTTTCTCGATGTAGTCGAAACACCTGTCTTGAAAATCGCATTTTGACTGTTTATCTATATTTGCGTCATTTAGTTTTACATAGTGAAAACTTAGCATTATTCTTTATAAAAGAGTTATATTGTAATGAAGTAACTTATTCGAAAGGTGATTTAGAAGATATTTTGACTCCACCGCCAAATATCGGACGTAAATATGGTCCAAATATTTCATGTTATATGATTAAAAAGAGATCCAAAGATAAACTAAAGCGAGTAGTAAAAATGTTTGACCTACTAATATATCTCAGGGATAATTTTGATCCAAATATGATTCTACTATGAGGTCAGTTAAAAGAAAAAAGAAAGTGGTTTGAGTATTTTTTAGCAAAGTCAAGAGTTTCCTTAAAATTGAATACTATAGAAGAAATGTAATTAGAGAATGCGCTTTTGATTAAATAAACTGTAATTTTGCTTGAAATTGGGAAAGGACTACAATCAGCAAAAAAAATGGAATTTAGAAAATTTTATTGGAAAGTTTAAGGATTCTGAGTACTACTATATATGGCTGAGATATTAGTTAAGAATTCTAAGCACTTAAATTTATTTAATAAAACTTACTTTCATAAGTGACATCGCCATTGAAACTAGTGACCTTCTTCAGCACCTCCGGCTTCTCCTCTCGTATACGCTGGAAAATCGGCAATTTGAACATCTCCTCCAAACGAACTTCGGGGCTCTTTCCGCGCTTTGGACGAACAATGATAATGATCTCCTTCAAAGCAGAGCATGAGTACAACAGTTTTTCGACTAAAACCTTGCCCATAAAACCAGAGGCGCCAGTAATGAATATGGTCTTGTCCTTATAGTACTCCTGAACTGGTGTCAACTCCGGCATCTTGATTACTGCAAATAAAGTAATAAAAAAGGAACTGTTACTAGACGAATCTATATCCCTGCTGGTAACGTTATAGATAAACATCTTTTGACAACGCACCCTCAAGTAGTAGAATTCGGAAAGTATTTTTGGGTTAAACAAAACTCCATCGAAAATTAAAAACTTCTTTAAAACTCCTATAACTCAGCACGAGGAGAGAAGCTCCACCTAGACCAAAAATCGAACAAAGAAGTGTAAGCCCCAATCATAGATACATACTTGTATGAGAGTAGGTTAGATTAGGTCATAGAGTTGATCCAAAAATCTATGGACCTCACTTGGACAGATACTCGTCTTTGGGTTACCCATAAACTACTAAAAGTGGAATACTATATTCTCATAGATCGAAGAAGCCTTTTAAGCTTACCACAGTTTTATTAAGCCAGTTAATATCAATCCCAGCCACTTCGCTAGGCTCGCCAAAGGTGTGTCTACCGAGATATTTCAATCATAATCTGCCATAAGTCGGGAAATAGAGGAGAAAGTGACAAGATTATTTCTCCTCGCCTTCCTCTATACAGCTTTGGGAAAGAACCGCGTGTGAACCAGTCGGAACACCTATAATTGCAGCGAGATTGATTTCGTTAAGAGCAAGTAGTTCGGAGGAGCTCTTAATGTTCACTCTGGGCTAGAAGAATCTCACAGTTGCACAAATTCTGGTTATTAACCAGCGCTTGCTGAGCTCACTGGAGGTCCATAGGTCCAATGTCAGATCACAGGAGGATATCGGGAAACCGGCTCGCTTCCAATCAGATTAAATTACGGAAAGGGTGTTCTGCCTAGCAAGCTCATCGGCTTTGCAGTTTTCGGTGATTCCGCTGTGACCCGGCACCCATACAAGTTTAACATGGAAAAAACTTGAAACCGTTTCAAAAGAAATCATGTACTCCTTGATAGCCTCTCGGCTATGGAAACGAATGTACACCTTGCTGAAGAAATCTTCACTTCGGAACAGTACACTACTGTTTTATTGATGGCAGTGTATAAAAGTAAGTAATCTCAATATAGATTTAATAATAGAGGTCTGAATGGTGTCGAATATGGTTAGTTGAATACCAAATGTTGAGGTAACCAGGATTATTCCGTTAATGTTATAAAAACTATCTTAAACCTTTGCTAATAAGTTGCAGCATTAATTTAAAAATAATTTAACTGTCAAACTCTGCCAATAATACTGTATTGAATAAGAGTTGCCTGGCGAAAAACGTTTTGTTAGTGCCACTTGAAGAGGGGTTCAAGTAAATGAGTAATTGCCACAATTGTTAGCTTAAAGCATTTGAACGTGAACGTGTGTTGTAGCACAATGATTAATGCCAAAGCCAAACCAAAGCTTACATTCTCTTGCGAGCAGTTAATATTTAAGAGTTCTAGGCACTAGTTCCAATAAATAATATTCGATAACATATAGGGTTACTTGCAGTAACTCAAATATAACTCTAGATCATCTCTCGCTGAGGAGATGTGAAAGCAAATAAGAATAGCAAAATATTTTTATGTCATTAAAGTTCAATAAAATCAGTGTGAATTGAATCAATGAAGTTCGAGTGTTTTGCTCCACACAAGCACACTTGGCTTCGTTCTAACACCATTAGTCCCTACTATTGCCAGTGGCTCAGTATTACAAGCACAAAATATGAGTGGCAGTGGCTTGACAGCTGGCTATATTTTGTTGTAATAACAATGCTTGACAACAAAGACAAAGTGCAACACACCATAGTACTTGAGTGGCGGTGTAGACGGGCATTTGTATTCATTGCTCTATTATAATTGGAGTGTCCATTACAAATGTTGTCATACATAAATATTTTTCTTAGCTGCGAAATACAATGAATGTTGTAGTAAGTAGTGGTAGTGGCGGAGTTTCGAAATGTTGCAATGCATTTTCCTTTCGAAAATAGAGAATGCGCTTGCGCATGCGTCGTCGGAGCAGTCGAGAAACAGGTTGCAGCGTACGCGAACGAATACTAGTAACATACAGCAGTGGCGGATTGTTGTACGCGCGATTGCCAATATCCATGCCACATTTACGGCATTGCATTTACGCCGCAGTTATGTAATGAAAGTAGCGCTCAAATAATGAAAAAGTAGCCGCTATTGGTGATAGAAGTGAGCTCACCACCACACTTACATAGTTATGTAGGCAAACCACAAGTGAATTGGGTGAACAACTGTTGTTGTTGTTGTTGCCAATTGTATGGTCGGTGGTTAGAATTCATGTGCAATGGAGTGTGTGGGGCAGGCAATTGTTTGTGGAAGAATTAGCTGCCTAAGTGGCGGCAATTGTGTGGCAGTCGCACAATAAATGGCCAATTGAAGTTACAGCTAAATGTGGTCGAAGAAGTAATTGCAATTACGTAGCGCTTTCCGCTTTCTCCTTCTGTGGACTTAGTAGTTGCATATTTAAAAAGGGAAACATATTTGCAGTAAAGAAAATTTCTTAAGAAATTTCTCTATTATGGGCTCTTAATTGTAACGGGAAGTCCCTCCACCTTACAGTATTCTATTTTCTTCTTATTATCCTATATGCATTTATCTCCCTTTTAACTACGTGAAAAACTATCACGTTTCATAGATTTTGTAGGAAAATGAATGCCCAACAAAATGATCCGCCGGATTCCGCCCATTCACAATATGACATAGGCGGGGTTATAATCCAATTTCATCCATTTTCACACTATCGATAGGAGTTCTTATAAGAATTGTTTCGACTAATGCCATTTTGTAGGCTTGGCAGTGGTCTGGTTACACCAGCTACGAAGTTGTTCTCACTTTTTTGCCAAGAAACACGTGTACCAAGTTATATCCGTTAGGTGAACAAAGCTATTATACTCTGTAGCAACATGTTCAAGAGTATTAAAATATATTTCAAAGAAATTGTCAGTGATTGTTTTTCAGCAGAAACCTTTTACAAAACAGAATAGTCTATAATGTAATCAAATTCTCCATATAGCACACTAGTGGAAATATGAAAACAAATGTTTGATTAATGTGTACAGCATTATATAAAACAAAACCTGATATATGGAAATATCGTACAGTAGAAGGCCGGGTTTGCTTCATTCTAGAAGTATCACTGCAATTAAACTGTGTTATTATTGCCGGTAATTGCGATGCCATAACTATAAAAACCACTGTTGTTACAGGTAAGCGAAAACATTTATGTGAGGTCATTGCTCTGCCCCGTTCAAAGTATAATTTTGCCTTTTTCACACACACACTTATATATATATATAAAATCGTAAGTGTTTTTACAAAATGTAAACAATGCCTCATTGCCCGCACTGGTTAATGTAATGCTGGCAACCATTGAGAAGCAGCAAACCGGCTGCCATCTAACACTTTCGTTAGTTTGTGCCGCCGTTCCCCCTCTCGGCATGCTCCAATTGCGTTACGTTGACTCAATGGAATTTGTGCGCATTGTAAAACCGCTAGCAAAATGTTGTATGTTTTGACGAGACATATATAATAAATATGCAATGCTATAAAAAATCTATATGCAATTTTAAATATATACATAATACAGTGGTAGAGTAGAGGAGAGCAGCTGTCATAATTTTTACAAAATTGCTTGCGTGATTTAAGAAATTGATGGGAGTTAAGCTTAGCTTTTAATTTTAAAATTCCTTCGTGGTCACAACTACAACTACTGCATTTTATCGCTCTTGCAACAAGTTGCATGGTGTAGTGTCTTCACCAAACGGTTATTCTTAACAACACTAAATAATCATAGTATGTAAATATTAGATAATTTCAATTTAAATTAATGATACTTTCAAAAATACATAAAACAGGCGAAACGTTGACGTCAGATAATTTTAAACAAACATTAAACTATATCGAGAACCGATAATCATGTGTGTAACATAAGTTATAGCACTTTCAAACCAACTTAATGAGTAAATAGCGGGGGATTGCCTATGGGGTTATTGAGAAAGCGTAGTTACTACGAAACCTTTCGTATATAATAATTTTTGACATCTAGTTATCGTTATAATATTATATATATAATAAATAAAGTAAAAATCTAAGAAAGAAATACTATACGTCCACCTCCCATGATATGATATATAACTTTCAATCAACTTCAAAGGTAGCAATAAAAATAATTGAGTACAATTTTTATAATCTTGCAACATGTTACTACCGAGTATAATAGTTTTGTTCACCTAACGGTTGTTTGTGTCACCTAAAACTAATCGAGACAGATATAGGGTTATATATATGGTATATATATGCTTAGAATAATGAAACGAGTTGAAATCTAGGTAACTGTCTGTCCATGTAAGTTGTAATTGGAGTAACTATTAAGATATTTGAATGAAACTTGATACACATATTCCTTGACGATAAAGTAAGCACGAGTTTGTAGATGGTCGTAATCGGACCACTTCCACGCCCACCAAACACAGAAAAAACAGAACTAAAATCGGTTAAAAAGAATTACATTTAGAAGGGGCCCCTATAAAGTTTATTGTATATACCTTCCAAACCAATAAAGCTGTGTCCCCAAACTTTTTGACCTTTGACCTTTTTTATGATAGTGTGAAAACAGGTGATAACCCAATAAATTTTACATCCAGGATGGTACGAGAGAGCTCTATAAGAACCGGTGTCACTTTCCAGTATACAAATAAAGCAACAATTAATATAACGGGACAAAACTTTACACGACTAGTGCCTTTGAAGTATGACCAAAAATTATATAAATCGATCCGAAACTGTTCAAGTCGTTTGGTACCGAATATGTGGACCCCAATACCTATAGTTGACTTTATTCCGAAAATATCGGTCAATGTATGAGATATAAATTGAAATTCAGAGCAGATCTTTTCCTGATGATAGTATCACTGAATGTCAAAAATGTCAATACTTGCCTTGGCCCCCATATACCCAATATAAAGATTTTTGAACTTTCGGATGTATCGGCCAATATGTGAGTTATCTCAATGAAAATTGGGGAGCGTGTTTT